TTGAAGTAATTAATAAATGAAAAGCATTTAGAATAACAATTGACATGTTAAGCACCATACTTTTTTAGCTATTATGATTACCAGTAGAAAGTTAAGGACTTTGAACTGAAACTGGTATTACAAAGCTGTGATGTCTGTCGTTTCTTTGTGAAATTTACCTTTTTTTTCTTCAACACTTAATTTTCTCTTAACATTCTGTATTATGGCTGGGTGCTGTGGTGTACCTGTAATTGGGAGACTGAGGCAGGGGAAGCACAAGTTCTAGTACCGCCTGGAATTACAGGTGTTCACCACTGTACCTGTCTTCTCATTTATAATCATACAAAGAAAAGGTATTAGTATTGTTTCTTTTTTAAATTTGAGAAAACCGAGGCCCCGATGAGTTATTTAATTAGGATTAGGGAGGTCAGGATTTGATTTCATCTGATTCCTGGGCCCAGGTTTTGTCCCCTCCAAAATTCCAAGTTATGATACATGTATAACAGTACTTATTTTCTGCTTCAGGCATTATGTGGAAATGATAAGACTTTCACCATTTCCACTATAGGTCAAGATGTAAAACAAAACTCTTTTAAATATGTTTTATATATTTTATATTTTTTTGTTTAAGTATAGTTTGACTGAAGATAACTTAGCCATCCACTAGATCTTGAACTCTAATGAGACTCTGAAATTATTGCCAATTAAATAGCTTCTAGCTCACTAGTAGTTTGTTTGATGTGAGTTTGCCATAGCTAAAAATATTTATTAGAATTTGAAAAAATATTCTTTTTGCATTCAATATTAGATAAATAATTTTCAATTGAAAATATGGTATATTTAAAAATTGGTAATGTAAAGATTGTCATAAACATGATAATCTAGTTATTTTTTATTTATAATTGACAATATAATGAGATATTTAAAATTGTATTGTTTGGTAGAGAACAATATATGAGGAAAGTCTGATGCTGATTTACTAAATGCTGATTTACTATGCAGCTGAGATATGTACAACATTCCTTAGATCTTATAAGGAGATAGAACTTTCATTTGAGATCATCTAGTTGCTATTTATTTTCTTTTAACAGGGAATTGATTTAGCCAAAAGATAAACTTTTCAGGATATCATTGATGAAGAAAGAAGACCTGGCCAGTTGTGGAAATACCTGTTTGCCTGGGGCATAGCTGTTACCTGTGCTTGAACATGCACAGCACCATTGGAACGTCTAAAAATCCTGATGCAAGTGTGTTGCATGGCTCATGTGTATGTTTATGAGTAACATGAATAATATGTGATGCTTTTCAAAGAGAAGATTTTAGACAGGTAAATACTATTTTTTTAATACTCTCATGTGCAAACTACTTTATTGCTAGTGATCTGGATTCTTATATTCAGTAGCTTCCAGGTGTTGAACTCATGTTGAGGTTACAAAAACCTAATGATATACTGTTTTTTTAAAATCCATACACAATTTTTATGGATGGAAATTGATATGTTGACAAATTATTAAACAGTGTCTAATAATCTACCACTAGTGTTCTATGGTGGGGCAAAATTAGAGAAGTCTCTCCCTTCTTTTGGAGATGGGTGATAAGCATATAGTATACATTGAGTCATAGAGAGAATCAAAATTGTGTCATGAAGAGACAGAGACTGGTCCAGGAGTTACACTCCCTCTTTATTCCCTACCATAATAAAGAACCTGTAATTGGTTGTGGTCCCTTTGAAGTAGGCCATACCATAAATTGTTTGCCTGTTCCTTGGGGCCAAGTTTCTATGGTTCTGGTAATATAACTGTGACAAGGGGAGTGAAAGAGTTTCCACTCTTTCCATGTTGTACTTAAGGCAGAAATTATGGGCTTCTAGCAACAATCACTATCTAATTTTACATTTTTGAGCCACAGAAGAACACATTTCTTCCTAATTTTTACAGAAATAAAGATGAAGCAAGTGTGCTTTGTTGAAAATTTTATGAATTCAAAGAAGGGGAAAGAGACACAAGTCTTATTTTTTCAGTGTGCATATTTTTTTCATTCCTGTGCCTCATTGAATGAAAGAAGTGGGTGATTGATTTATAATGGGAATTGGCTCATGTGATTATAGAGGGTAAAAAGTTCTGTGATGTACTTTCTGCAAACTGGAGAACCATGATACCTGCTAGTGTCCAAATCCACAGGCCTGGGGACCATGGTTCAACTCTCAATACAAGGTCAAAGACTTGAGAACTGGGGTGAAGGTTGAGTCTACTGGTATAAGTCTTTGAGTTCTGCAAGTCTAAGATCATGAACAAAAAGTTATGTCCCAGCTCAAGAAAATAGAATGAATTTGCTTTCCTCTACCTTAATGTTCTATGATGACAGTCAAATGATTGGATGATTCCCACCTATGGTGGCGAGAGTAGATCTATGCCTTCAAAGCTAATCTCTTCTAGAAATACCCTCATAGAGACACATGTAAAACCAACTAAAGGGCATCACTTAGCCCAGTCAAGTAGGCACATAAAATTAAACATCACACTCTCTATGCATTTTATTTTTTAAACTATTTTGTATTATAATGTCATTTTACTCAACATTTTTTGGAAATTTCCTCAAAAATATATTTTAACTCTTCTGTCAAACTTATTATTTTAACAATCAATACTTTGATGGTTCCTATTTTGTTTTTTTTTTTTTTTTTTTTTTTTTTTTTTTTTTTTTGGTACTTGCCATTGAACAAGTTCTTAACCACTGAACCACATCCCTATCCTTTTTTATTTAATTTTTAAATTTTTGAGACAGGGTCTCAAAAAGTGAGGCAGGTCTCACTAAGTTTCTTAGGATCTCACTAAGTTGCTGAGGGGGTTGAATTTTTGAACTTGCATTCTTCCTGCTTTAGCCTCATGACCTTCTGGGATTACAAGTGTGTGCCACCACACCTGGCTTTTATACTTATACTATCTTTCTTTTCTTCTTCTTCTTCTTTTTTTTTTAATTGAGAGGGGATTTTGCTTTGTTGCGCAGACTGGTCTTGAACTGAACTCAAATGTTCTTCCTACTAAAGCAATCACATAATTTCTAGTAAAATTTTCCAAGACCTGCTGTATTTATTGGCAAAACAAAGTATTTTGTTCTATGAGTAGTAAGTAAATGTATCTGTTAGTCGTTTTAAGAACTTACCCTACTCCATTTTAACTCTGAGTTGTTTTTCCTTCCTCCACACTTAATTATATCTTTTTGGACACTGTCAGATCTGTTTCCTGAAACACTGTTCCAATCATATTTAATTATTGAACAATGGTACTAATATTTACTGAGCAACATTCACCTTTCACAAAAGTTCTAGGACATATGCAGAATGTTATTTTATACTGTCTTGCCTTCCAGATTTTTTTGTATTTAAGGTTTATTTCCCAAATTTTCTTTCCTTGAAAGAAAACTTTATCTTAAGTTTGTTTATTTCTCAGAATATGCCATATACACAGTTTATAGATTCATTAAATTCTAACTAAATTTAGTTGATATCACTGAAACCAAAATAACATTTTTAATAAGGTGGAAATTACTAATTTTTATTTTTTATTTTTATTGGTTCTTTTTAGTTATACATGACAGCAGAGTATATTTGATATAATTATATAAACAGGGAATGTATTTTATTCTAATTAGGACATCATTCTTATGAATGTACACCTTGGTGGAATTCACAGTGGGGTATTCATACATGTACATAAAAAAATATGTAAGATTAATTCCACTGCCTTTTCTTTTTTTATTCCCCCTCCCTTTCCTCCATTCCCCTTTGTCTAATCTGAACTTCTGTTTTCTCACCACCCTGCCTTATTGTGGATTAGCTTCCACATATCAGTGAAAATTTTTGAGTTTTGAGAATTGGCTTATTTCCCTTAGCATGATAGTCTTGAGGTCCATCATTTACTGGCAAATGTCATAAAGGCTGAGTAAAACTTTATTGTGTATATATACCACATTTTTTTTATCCATTCATCTTTTGAAGCGCACTGAGATTTCATTTCACTCTAGTGAGAATGGCAATTATCAAGAATCCAAGTAACAATAATAAATTTTGGGAAAGATATAGGAAAAAAGGTACACTTAATACATTGTTGGTGGGACTACAAATTGGTGCAACCACTCTGGAATACAGTATGGAGGGAGATTTCTTAGAAAACTAGGAAAGTAACCACCATGTGACCCAGCTGCTCCACTCCTTAGCATATATCCAGAAAATTTGAAATAACATAATACAGTCATGGAAGGCATATTATAGCAGAATAATTCACAGTAGCTAAGCTATTATTATCTTGTTGAATGATATAAGAAATGCAATTGTTCTTTCATTGAAATAACAGACTCATCTATGTACACATAGACATTCTAATGCATCTACTTTAGAATTTTGCCTAATAATCAATAATTTTGCCTAATTGAGAATTTGCCTAATATCTCACTTTGATAATTTGCTTAATTTGAAGTGCCTCCTCAGAGTCTCTCTAATGCAAGCTTTACTCTTCTTATCACCATATGTATTTTTGCTTTCTTTAAGACCAGTTTTGTGATTTTCTTAAATCTTGCCTGAATAATAACAAATCTACCACTTTTTAACATGGAAAGATACAGGATTATCAATTGTTTTTTCTTCTTTATGACTTAAGGCAAAAATAAAAATGCCAATTGACTTTGAATATTATAACATTAAAAAAAAAGTAGACAAGTGCCAGAAGTTATAACTTTGGGGAAGCTTTGTATGAATTGTTGCAGTAGTCTCATTCAACACACCTTTGCATCCTGGTTCCAGTCCATATGGCCACACTTTCCTCCTGCTAAGCTGAGTGCCATAGTAGGACTAAGTGGTCATTTTGTCTGCTTCTCTGTTTTTGTCAAATCATCAAGGACTAGCCATAATTCAACTATGGGTATATTTTGACTCTACCAGTAATGCAGCATGGCATATCTGAATTTTCAAGGCTAATGTCCCTATTGGCAGAAAAAAGACCAAAGTATGACTTGGGGCATCTTTTGTTAAAATTTGAGATCTTGAGATAGGATGATCAATTATGTCAGTGGCCGGCTTATTTCACGATCAGGAAATATTGCTGAAGTAAGTATTAAATAAGTAAGCAGTGTTCTAGTACAAAATAAGCAAAGGCACCATGATAATTATATATTCATATAATATTTACTTGTTTTTCTCCCTTTTTGTGTTTCTAGTTCTAATACATGGAAATTTGATTCATGAATTATTGGATGGCACAGTTTCATGTTATGATTTATCTCTTAAAATATGCATAGCCTGTGAACACACCAAATTAACTTTTTAAATTACTTTTACAACAGGTTGGTAAATGGTTGCAGGCTATGTTCTTCTCTTTGAAGCAGATCCCATGATACCTTATCCCACGTTACTTTGATGCTATATTAATTGGTGCATACACCACTCTTCCCATGGAAGCAGATGTCAAGGTATATCCAACAAATCTTACATAAATAGGTGTGTTTGCATAGAAACTATACACAGAGTCACTTTACACATGCACTTAAAAGACCAAAACATGAATTTTGGAGACTCAGAGCTGGGAAATTTTTTAAGTGTAGAGTAAATTTATTAACATCATTTAGTCTGAAACACACAAAAACAAACCCATACAAATTCTGTTCTATATAAAATATGTTTGGGGAAAATAACTTGTTTTATGTTATTTGTTTCTATTTATTTATTCATTGATTTGTTAAATTTAATAGATATAATATTTAGAATATGTACATATAGTTCTTTCTCTAATTTTCATCAATTAAAAGAAAAATATTCTGGTACTATTATGACTGAAATCTACCTTTTACAATGAAATTTTCTAAAATGAAACTACAAATGGAAATAAACTATGAGAGCCAGCAAGTTGATTTGGGAATGTTTTCAGATATTTCAGAAAGAAAAAGCACTTCAATTCTGCCATTTGTGTTACAACAAGGCCTGGACTAAAGCTGGCTAAAATAATGGATGCCATGAAAGCAGTTTTGAAATCTAATCAAATTAAACATTTTTTCCTACTATATTACTATTTATATACATTTGTGTGAAAAAATCATTTGAGGGGGGGAAAACAGAATAAAACTGCTAAAAAGTTTTATATTATTATAGATTATATTTTAAACCCTATCAATTTTATTACAGCTTTGTTCAGAATGGTTCAAGCTTTGTGAAACACCTTTCACTGGGTTCAGTCCAAGTGTGTGGAGTAGGAAAATTCCCTACTCTGCCACTTCTTTCACCTTCCCTTCTGGATGTACTATATAGGTTTAATGAGATCAGAAAGGAAAAGCAGCAGTGTTGTTCTTCTTTAACTGCAGGTAAGGAATTTTGTAGAAGGTTAAAATATATAAGTCAATAGTATTCAAAAAGAAAACTTACAGGAAAAAGACTTTTTTAAAAAATTCATGAAGTTATCCAAGACTATATGTTATTGCTTAGTAAAATTTCTGAGATACTCATAAAATACTAACCACGGTATTACTTATTATGGTATTATAATTGTGTATGAGGCATTTATGTGTGTTTATATTGTGTTGGTTAATTCTTTTCTTCTAACTCATTGTATTACTTCAAATAATATTTAAAATATATGTTATAAATCATTATTTTACTACCCATTTTCCTATATCTATTCACATTTTTTAAAATAAACTTATCTAAAGATCATTTACAGGTGTCCTATAAGTTACAAAACACAAAACTGATATTAAATAATTATTATTGGGGATATTTCATGGTGGAATGCTTGCCTAGCATGTGTGAGACACTGAATTCAATTATCAGCATTACATATAAATAAATGAATAAAATAAAGTCCATCAACATCTAATAAAAGTTTTTTTTAAATATCTTTTCAGTTGTTGATATACCTTTATTTTATCTATTTGTACGTGATGCTGAGAATCTAACCCAGTGCCTCACAAATGTCAGGCAAGTGCACTCCCACTGAGCCATAGCCCCAGCCATAAGTAATAAATGTTTTAAGAAATTATTATTATTATGCATCCAGATGCTGTAAATTAAACATAAAATACTTTCAGCCATGTTTATTGGTATCTGTTCCTGAAAGTAGATTAAAAAATTCAATTAAATAACAAGTATGAGTAAGCAAAATAGGTAAAGAACAGGCTTTCCTTTTAAATAAATTTCCATCATATTTCTAGAAATTATTTAATACTTGAGGTCACTGAAGTTGAGAATTCTCAGAACTAACCTGAAATATGTGAAATTGTAGAAAGTATTATATATCTTCATGGCTCTCTCTGTTAAATTTTTATTTCTTTAAATTTGTATCTGCTCAGATCAAATGAAAAGGCTTCATGGTACCTAACAACTATAATAAAAATTACCTTTTCATTTAGAATTATCATAAAAAAATCATAAAACTCTTTTTTTGGGAGTGGAGATGTAGTTTAAGTATGTGTGAGGCCCTAGAATCAATCCCTATCACCACAGAAATAAAAAAAAAACAATTTTATAAAAGAATGAAATTAAAACTCTGCTTTAGTTTTATAATTATTTCATATTTTCACTTGACTGTTTGATCTTCTATTACCTGTCATTTCCCAATGAATCCATGCAAATACTCATGAAACTGAACTGAGCCATTGTGGGAAAAAAACATGCTTATATGAAGAATTTTAGGTTTTAACCTATTTTATATAAGCCTATTATATCAAGTAGTAATCTCAGTCTTTTGATTATATGCTGCTGCTGTTAAATACCCCTAATACATGCATTTATTTATAAATTGTATACCAATATATGTTAATAGTACCTGATACACTTACCTACCAAGTATAGTATAGTAAGTAAATAGAAATTCTGGTATTTTCTTCTAGCATGGAATGTTTTGCCTAGTGCTTCCTGGCAAAATTAGAATAAACTCAGATTTGCAGGTAAATTTTTCGAAGGTGCATTTTAAATGGCTGGAAATTCATTTCTTTGATGATAGTATTTCAAAACATGTTATAATTATAAACTTTTATAATAATTGATAAAGCAGAAATTGTTCCAAAGATGTATGATCTATAAGTTGTATACTTTCAGAGATGAAAAGGTTAATATGGGTGTTTGGGGAGGGAAGAATAGAAGTTTGTTAATTGGATTAGACAAAGGGGAGTGAACAGAAGCAGGGATGGGAATAGGAAGCCCATAGAATGAATTGGGCAGTAACTTTCATGTGTACATTGTGAACACATGACCAGTGTGT